ATTCAAAGATTTGTTTCACTACAGCACCTTTTGACGCTTAACTCAGATGAGTATTGCTTTCAATGCCTTGGACGAACGAACTATTCATTACATCTATGCGGTCTGTGTTTAAAATGAATGCAAAGACGGGGAAAATCTCCCACGATTTGGACTCTATCTGCCTCTATCTTGCCCAACAGACAGTGGACCGTTGTTTTTTTTTTCGCGATACAATGCAACGCTTTTCTCTCATCGGTGGTACCAGTGGCAGCATGGAAGGCACGAAAGGTATTCTCGGCCCTACACTTCTCCTCTCTGTGGGAAATTGGGAGAAAAGACTGGTGGGGTCACAAGCAAAGGCCATCCGATGGGTAGATGGCATAAAGGAGGCATTCGAATTGCAATCCTCTTCAGTCCAACTTTTGTGTAGAAGGGATCACACCATATGGCATGCACTACTGAAAAAACAAAACCATGACATGTTTCACGTGCCTGTCACCTTGGTATGGAAGCGACATTTTAATAATTCAACTTATTTTTTTTTGCATTACTCACTTCCCGACATCACCTAATCCATTCGCTTTTTTTTTCTTTTGGTGTGGCCTGTGTGTGTGTATGTCAATGGCGGACGTCACCAAAAATGGAGCACAGGAAGTGACCAACGTGTCTGTTTGCTTTTTATCCACCCTTTGCTCTGTTGTTGTTAGTTTGACTCACTCTAACACACACAAAGCCAAACGCATTTTGGCTGTCCTGTAGAGGACGCCTACTCGAGGGATTTGTGCGACATTTTTGTATTGCCCACCTTGCGATAAAGTTGGACTTTGGGGGAGGGGGAGGACAGCTTGAAGCTTGAATACACAGCCTTTACCTCGTTTGCATAAATGGTAGATCGTCAAGCTATTCTTTTAAACCTCCTTTCTTGAAACAAAAAAACCCTTTTTCCTTTAAGATGGAGCTTTTGCATTGTAGGAGATACCATTTCGGCATATATGGAGCGGGAATCGCAACACTCTCCTCCACTGTTCTTTCACTCTTGAACGAGTTGACGAGGCTACTCCAGGGCTCCACTGCACAATCGCCTGCCAACAGGATGGGGTTCCAGGAACTCAGCAAGTTCTGCACTTGAATGTCAACAGTGGTAGTCCAGAGGTAAGATAAAATCTTTAAATCTGTGTGATTCTACCATAGAGGCATATCGGAAGAGGTGTAGGGTGAAGATTTCGAGCAATGGGCGAGTGAATGGTTACGTGAATGCGGAAAAAAATTCAACTGATGCAGAATGGAAGGACGGTGGGGCGAATGGGTGAATGTGTAGATGGGTAAATGGAAAAGTACAGAATAGGAAGAGTTTTGATGGATTGAAGGTACAGAGTGGATTAAGACAGAATGGAAAGATGAATATGGGATAAATGGTTGAGGCGCGGACGACCCCTCTTCTTCCATACAACCGGTAAAAGAAAAACAGCCACTAAAAGAACAGTTGGACCAATTTATAGTAAGGAGCAAACGGTACAGAAAAGACGCGCATCGACTATGCAAGAAGTGGGACAAATGCACAGATTCAAGGAGAAACAATGGATTGACAACGGCACATATGCGTGTCGTTGGGTAGAAATTACACAAGTCATGCATTTTACCTACGTCAAAGGAACTATTATTGACATAAAAGACAACACCGGTAAATCTAGGAGGTCTCAGACCCTTCATTGATGCTTAATCCAAACCGCAGTAGATCTTTAAAGGCAAAAAAATTTTCCTTTCCCCTTCCCATTCCTCCTCCTCCTCCTCCTCCTCCTTCCCCTCATCCTCATCCTCCTCCCCCTCCCACTCTTACCAAATTTGGTGGAAAACATACTCCATATTTTTATAAACGGTAAACAAGTTTGTTCCATTAGAGCCCAAACAGGCCTCTGTCATGTTAGTTTTCATTCGGACTTCCGATTGTACAACTCCGTGGGCACGAATGGAAAGAAAGTGCTTATGGGAAAAAGGATAGGAGAGGGGAGAAGTATATGAGACGCCGTTTTCCGGAAGGATATGTAGAATAGTTTTAACTTAGTTTCCTTTTTGGACCCAAACCTGAAAATGAGCAGAATTTTCTCTTTGTTGCAGAAGAGTGTGTTTGTGGTTGACTTGTAGCAGCACTTGACCTCACCTCAAAGGCACACTCGTTCTCACTGAGAGGAATAGTTTTGTGAATCCTGCATTTCCCCTTCTTGATGGACATTTTTTTTTGCTTAGCATCAAGTCGGCGTCTAGTCGAAATGCTTGCCTTGGTTACTGGTTTTGAGGTGGCCCATAAGTTGAGCTGATCGCTTTACTGAATCCTCTGTTGCGAGTCTTCGAAAGAGAATTTTAGCACCCCATATGAACGCATTTGCCGTGGATATTCAGCAAGTAACATCCACATTCTTATAACTTTTTACAAAAGATGCTTCCCTGGCTTGTGAGGCAAAAAATACGAGCCTGGAAGTTGCCTCGTTTTTAGTGCATTGGTGCTACACGAGGTTGCAGGGTAGAGAGAAGGGAATCGGGATAGTGGGAGCACGAAGATCAAGACGTGAGATACTGCAAAAGCATACAATCAAGACTATCTCTTCTTTCCTTCTTCACTTACTTGCACAATTTCCTTCTCCTACTTTTAGGGCAAACATTTGCAACTCAATCCAACGAGTGGCAGTTCATACAGTGAACAAAATGAGTTTAGGTAAGGAAGTTCACAACTACCCTAGTTGACACTGAAGAAGGGTAGAGAAAATTTCGAAGACGCAACCCAAAGTGTCTTCCGTATCTCGGAGGCACCCTGCCTTTGACAGACTTAATGACTTACACCGAGCTCCTTTGCTTCTTTGTTTCTAGGCTCCCGTCCTTCGTGGTATTTCAACTGTGCAGTATGCTCGATCCCATCGCACCACTGGGCAATGATTGGAGGCAACTAGCTCAACATCTTGCAATGGAAAGGTGAGGCAACTGCGGTTTCCACTAAACAACTATACATCTTTATCTTCTTCCATTTGACTGGATGACAGCACATCTGGTGGTCATAGTGGATGATAGGTTCTAAAAGCTGTAAGACGTGAAACAAGTATCCACCTATTAACTTTGTTATCAATGAATAAAAACGAGATTTCGGGGAACCTCTCGTTAGGCATCACAATTTGGTATGAGGAGCGTTTGACTGCCATCTTGGAAATTCTAGAATAAAAGCATTTACCAGTAGAAATGAATGCAAGTGAAATGACAACGCAAACATAACTTTCAATTGAACGAACAGTCTCACCTCGGACTGGTAACGCGTCGGTGGCGGTAGGGTTGGGGGAGAGGTAACCACCTTCCAGATGGTGATCGTTATGCTCACACTGCAAGTTCAGATTCGATGCCCATTTTGAAGGGCTACTTTGCTCGTTACTCCCACGTCACTGCACGTACTTACTTAACATCTTCATAATCCTTCAGCATCTAAGTGAACAGTTAGTGGAGCTAATACTACCTTCTTGGGTTCTTAATCTTCTCTACGTTGATTGGTAGTTCCTTACAATTATTTCTCGCCATTTGGTAGATTTCTGCCCTACTTTGCGTCAACTCAACATCCTACCGAAATGGTTCTCAATTTGTGGGAGGCTTCGACAACTGCCAGGGGTCCTCTAGCTCACCAGGAATTAATAAACATTCTACAGAGTATGCATCGTCTTGATTGCGCCAATTTGGTTCGGTCTCAGGTCTCCCTTGTATCGTCTCGAAAAGATCATGTGTAAATAGTAGACAGGGAGGAGGGAAGGGAGAGGCAGGAGAACAGAGACAGTCACTCACTCACTCACTCACCCACACACACACACAGAGCATTTACCATTTGTAAATATTCCACTCTTCAGCAACTTCTTGTTTGTTACCTTTGTCCAGACACTCACACATTTAGTCTTCTGCTGCTACCTCAGAAATACTTTAGTGTAGCATGTTGCGTAACGCCCATCACTCATTTGATCCCTAATCTCTTCCTTCCTTTCTTAATTCCCATTCTCTTCTTTTACTTTCCTCGAGTGATTGTCGGAGGCGAGAGGTAATGAAATTTCCTCTTTATTATGAATAAACTCTTCATTTACAGCGCCATTGTTTGTCATTAACGTAATAGTAAATACGAGACGGATGGATGGGTGAGAGATGGATTAGAGAATAGTTAAGGCAGAACTTTTTTAGCTTTCCACTAGAGGATATAATTGAGATCCCACAATTTTATTCCCCTCTGTTTCTAATGCACGCGTCCAGGAAAGGGTGCCTCAAGCACCGATTAGGCCCCTCACTGCCCGACTTGACCTCTCGGAAAAATCTACACTATTCACTTGCAAGGCTCAATTTTGAGCAGGCAACCTTCAAGTCTGTTATGCATTGCGATGGAGACAGAGTAAAGGGATCCTTTCACAAAATAATTATCTTCAAATTCACATCATGTAAGGCGAAATGGAGGTAAAATGAAAATTTGCGTCAACTTTCTGGACTTCGAGGGAGGTTCACCAACTTTTTGTGAACTTTGATGGCGAATACATCCGTCACCTTTTATCGCGGGTGTTGACGGTCAAATTAGTCCCAACTTCGCTGTTTGCGATGCACAATCCTTAGTTGCCTTTATCCGAGGGCATAGCATGAGTAAAAACTCCACAGTTCAAAGACCAAAGCACGACGAATGGCTAAGCAGAGTAGGAAGAAGATGGTAATACCGCATAACTGATCGAGAATTGTGATGGGCAGGTTTGGCTTTGGATAGTAAACCTTGCACACCACGCCGAGAGTTGCTCATTCAGACGGTAAAAGTGATCCTTCGCTTTGTGCTGCATCACGAGTTATGTGAAGTCGAGGAAGACCACACCACTGGGAAAGGGGAGGCAAGAAGTGGGGAGCTAGAAGTCACTTTTGTAATCCTTTCCAAATCGGTGGCTAATTTAAATTTATTAGACTGTCACTTTGACCAATAATGGGAACTCAAGTTAAGTTAACGTTAGTTGAAGGAAAGGATTTGATTGTCGCACCAATGATGCCCAAAGCCATTATGTAGAGGTGCTCGACAAATCGTATGACAAGGGTTTTCGACCACTCTTGGCCTCGTCGTTTGGTGAAGCTCGTTAACTCACCCTTATCGCAAAACAGTGATGCGTGTAACCCGATCGGTGCGGCATGCAGAGGGCGCCACTAAACCTTACATAACACAACAGTGACAACCCCATTCACACGTATTAATACCTGAATGAAAGGAGTCATTTAAGAAAACCTCGTCACTTCACCTTGCCATGAGTAGCAACACAGAATTGGAAGGTAAAAGCGAGATGGCGGATTTATTGGCATTCTGATTGCACTCATCATTCACATGTCGTCTTACTCGAATTCTGCAAACAACATTAAAGCCTTCGGGGAGAGTTGGTTGCTCTGTCGAGGGAGACGTGTGATAAAATGGACGGATAGATGGATAAATGAATGCGGAAAGAAGGGATGGAATGAAGTTAGGATAAACACACTAATGAATGCAGAGAGGATGAGTATGAGACAGAGTCATGGAGTCTCTCGATTGGAAACTCATAAGCGTCGCATGTTAACTTCACCACCATTAAAAATAACGCATTAATATTAATTTGCCATAAATTATTGAAGGTTCCACGTCATCCATATGTGAAGCTAATCTTGATCAGTAGAAGCCGGCCTTCACATTTGATGATGCAAAAATCTTTCAAAAAGTTAACAACCTCCCGTAAAATGTACTTACAAACATTATTTTTAGGAAAACTTGCTCCATGTTTTATTGGAAACAGGGGGTTCAAAGTTGAAAAAAAAAATGGGTTAAAGGAAATCTAAAATCCTGTTTTAAGCAGGGCGGGATCAAGGGTGGACTGCCACAATTTCTGCACCTTGAATCAGCCCTTCGTCGCAGAGAGTGACACTAGCGCCCAGGTCTTGCAATAACTGAACTCCATGTAGAACACAAGACGCTTGACTTGCGAAGCTTTAAAATGAGAGAAAAAATGTGAGTAAAAAGGGGGCACGGGGATGTCAGCAAGTTCATGAATGCCAAGAAGCTGATAGGATCCAGGTTCCACGAGACTAACTTTTGATAGTGGTTTGTAGTGATCAAGATTTTGCGGTATGACCTCTAGTAATCAAGTAACTTCTTCACTTCTTACTGCTAACCTCGTACAGAAGTGAGCAGAAAAGTAAACCTACGTTTATAACGTTTGGCAATTACAACCACCAAATACAGTTGACAAGCTGATGATCGGTCATTGAGGCATCGCTGCAAGACATCCTAATTGTGAAAGCCCGTGGGGAAGCAGATAATGGGTGCTCTTATGTCTCATGGCGTAAGACTGCCGACGCAAACAAAAGGACTAGCCGCAGCACAGGAGAGAGAATCGCCACACGAAGGCTCGTGGTCGCTAAACCAAAGGGAAGTGCGATGGAACTCTCAATTCCCAGAGATGCCTTCACTTCGCGAAATGTTCATGTGTCAAACAGCGTCAACATAGCATAAGATCAACCACATTTTTGGCATCTTTATTCACTTGAATATAGGATGAAATTGGCAATTTGCGTCACCTATGTTTGAGGCTGAATAGTTAAAACAAACCAGAAATTTGATTACTTGTTTAAAATAAAATTCCCAATGAACAATATATTTACATATAAAATTGTGTAACGAGGAGGCAGCAAACAATTGAACCGTATAAAGCTAGTATATCGGCAGTACAAGAAGCTGAGCTAGCAAACACCCACCTGTCTCCTTGACACACCTCCTAGCCAAAGGCATCTTCATCTCCAGCCATCGTAACAAACGCGCAGGCACACAGGTCGTGGAAGGTGAGAACAGGCTACGAGAGGAGGTAAAAACAGGGAGAGTCGGAATGAAACCTAGAAAATCAAAAACTTATTTGCAGTCTGTCAACCTTATAAGCAAACCAGAAAGTGGAAATCATCATCAGGAGTAATGGCACGAAAGATAGCATGGATTGACAGTAGTCTCCTTAACTCCTCCCCCTTATCATGAATGCCTTCTCGTGGGAAAGTTTGGCAATAGTGTCAAGTCTTGCCTCTTTAGAATAAGACTTTCTTCCTACCGATTCACCAGTCCTGCCCGTTTCTGTGGGTGGAGTTTATTATAGCATCCCTTCAGATCATGCTGTAGCAAGTGAACATTCACTTTCCATCACTAGTCATAAGGTATATACCATGTCACCATCTCTGTTCAGCAAATGGGAGCGTAATTACGTTGTTTCTTCCCCTAAGACCCCTCAACATCACAGTTCCATAACTAAGCCAACAATCACTAGAATTAACCATCCTCGAGTAATGCGCTATGCCTCCTCGCCTCCTCTGTGCATCACACCAATTTTATGATGATCTATTCAATTCAGATGTAGCCATGGATGCAAACACTAACAGGACAGAGAGCCAAATCGCATGCCAACTTTAACCACTCAAAAGGTGTATGTTAGTTTAGAGAATGGGAAAATGAACTTTATGTGTTTAGCAAGGCGACTACCCGTCTCAGACCACGATTTTAAACAGTCACATTGGCAGCCCGTGTCCTCGAAATCATACATTTGTGATTCAGTTTAAGCGCACCTATAGGGAGACGGTGTAAAAAGCACAATTTATCAAAATTAATTTCTCAATCCACGTCATAAATCTGGAAGAAGAGCTAGTGGTAATTAGCAGTGTTAAGGTGGCACAATAGATTCAAATGGTGAGAAGACATGACTGGGTGTTTATGAAGACGAGATGGAAAACATTACGGTTAGTACCATAACTAAGAGGCACATGAACCATTACACCGGTCTTGGTGGAAGCGATTGCTCTAGTGGATACAAGGGCATCTGTAAATGACGTCAGGAGGAAAACGCATTTTGGTAGGCCCGGATGACTCCATGTCCACCTAAAAACCTGAAGCGGTTGACGATGTCAACAGGAGAGTTTGGGGGAGGTTTTATTACCTCCAATCGAAGAGCCATAAGTCAGTTGAATGAAGTCGCCTGTTACACAACTTCAGGCGGATGGAGGGAGAGACACATTGAGCCCGATGACAAACGAAGGATGTCTTTCATAACGCACTCTCGGCAGTGCATTCACCTACCCAACACCTATGCGCACGTAGCACCCGTCCCACTCCCTCGTCTCACTGTCCGCAAAGCTTCTCTTCGAACACTGTCCCCCCTCCCCTCCCCTTTTTTCTTTCACCATTTCGGTGCAGTAGACCATTTTCATCAAGCCACAAAAACTCAGGCGCCTTCACTTTGACTGGTGCTTGGGGTGGAGACAAACTCACCTCACCGTCTTCCGTCCTGCTGTACTTGTTTTTTTTTTCACCCTCACCAATGTATTTGAGTGCAGAAGTAAAAAAGTACACGGAGGTGGACAATGCGAGGAATAAGCTTGGCTTCTCTCTCCTTCCTTTTTTCCCCCTTTTTACACCCCGTGGGTATCCACGTCCAGTAAGCGTCCTTCAGCCTTGCAAAGCGAAGAAATGAATACCCTCAAGAGGTCGCGGTGTGCTGTTAATTTAAACAGCAAAAAGGGGTGTTGGTTGATCTCCTCTGTCTTAAAAGAGGGAAGATGGATGTTTTGCAGTGGGGAGAGGATTCGTATAAGCACCAGGACAGCATTCCACTACAAAAAGTGGGAGTTGATAATGATACCTCCGATTAGCTATGTTGTGGCAAAAGGCAACGAATCAAAGTTGTTTTCATTAATAAGATCACCCCAAATTGACCGCATTTCA